GGTCCCCAGGGCTGTTGCAGGATGTGTTGGTTCTGGCTCCAACCCTGCTGAAAGGGCTGTGTTTGGGAGGAAGAGAAACTGAAATCATGGGGAAGGCGTAAGCCCATTAGTTTGACAGAGCTTTCTACAAGCATGTCAGAGAAACCACTGCATACATACAAGGGTTTTGGAGGTCCTGCCTGGAGACGCATCTTTAGGAGTTTCCATGAGATGCTGGTACCATGAGGGAGAATGGGTGGAGCAGAAGATACCCCACACACAGCTCGGAGACAACCCAGCTCCAGTGGCAGCTCTGCTCCTGCCATGCTTTCCTGGCTCACTCCCGGGTCTCCCTTCTCCCCAGTCTGGCTGTTTTTCTGTGCCCTCCTCACATTTTGGAGAACTGGGCTGAGTCTACAGGGCCAGGGAAAAGGCTCTGTCATCCAGCTGGAAACAGCCATGGTTCCCACCATGGCTTCCCCAGGAGCTTGTGCTGCCTGGGAATACTCTGCCTCCCTGGTGTGGAACACACAATCAAATCCCTCTGAGAAAACCAAAGTTATCTTCCTCTGTTTTAGAGAAGGACAAGTGACCTCAGACTGCTGCCAATGCCCTGCTTATTCCCAGGCAGAGTCATGTCCCTGAGTCAGTCCTGGGTCAGAAACAGTGCTCAAGTGCATCACTAAAGCCAGTGCTGAAATGGAAAGCCACAGGGCTGAATTACACTGTGAGTGAAGTCATCATCTTACCATAGTGTAATATCAGTGAAAGCAGGGTAGGGGGGATTAGTAAAGTGGGGGGTGTTGGGTGCAATTTTCCTATTGAAGTAACCAATAGGGGGAAAACCAGCATAACTCGGATACAGTGACTACAGCAGCTGGTCAGGCTGACCTGGCTCATCCCTAGATCCTGGTTTCCAGTGCCTGACCACAGCTCACCACTGCTCTAGCCAGTGTGGGTCTGAGAGGGGGCCATGGGCTGATATTGCAGAGCAGAGGGAATGGGCACAGCTTGACCCACAGGGGATGTAGCCATCCTGCTCCACTCCCCATGCTGAGCTCAGAACAGCCCGTTCACATCCATGTGTGTCCCGGCCAGCTGTGTCTCCAGACAACACCATCCTGATGCCTGAGCAACGCAACTGCCAGTTTTCCTTCCTTCTCCAAAGTAGATGGGCAAAACCACTATGCCTTCCTCCCTCTTATCACTGTGCACAAACACTGTTCTTTGCCCAAACACTACAAATTATTTTCAGTTCCTTAAGGAAAAATTTCAGCCCCAGCAACGTAATGTACAGAGAGATGTAAATAACTAAATCTGGATTTTACCACGGGCAGACACAGTCAAAAGCCTTTGCTGCTCTGAGGGGGGCACAGCCAACCTTCCTCTGCAGTCCCCAGGCAGGGAGGCAAAGGTCCCCATCTCCCCTCACATTTCCCCAGAGCTCCCATGATGCAGAGCAGAAGGGAAAGCACAGGCTGGAACACCAGCTCTTGGTTCCTAACATGGCCTTTAAAGGGTCACAGGCAAATGGCATTAATATAAAGCAATGCAGAACAGCAGTGCAGAGCGAGTATTACCTCTCTCTCTTCTTTCTCAATTCCACCAGTCCCCCTTCGGGGTTGCACATAGTGACTCCCCATCACACCGCCCCTTCCCAGCTGTGCCAGCAGCTCAGTGCACCCACCTTGCCAAGTTCCCCCCATGTACCTGCCCGGACCCAAGCTCGCAGTGCAGTCCAAGCCAGGGTGGGAGAACACCCAGAGCAGAGTTCTAGAGTTGCAATAGAAAGAACTTTACCCTGCAGGCGCTTGCAGCACGGACAGCAGGTTGCTCTGTGTGTAGTCCCAGGCGGTTTCCACTGCAGCAATGTAGTATCTTCTGACTTTGCTGGTACCCTCCTCAACCAGGCAGAGGAGCAGGAGGCTGCACAGGGCTCCTGCCAGCGTCATGCCTCGTGGCTGGGAACTGCTCTGACTTCGGGAGGAAAAGTGAAAAGGAAGGAACGAGAAAGGAAAGAGGAGAGAAAAGCCTTTATCGTCACATCCAGCAGTTGTAATCCACAGGAGATGATGATTTAAAGCCAGCACCCACAGACTCACTCAGAGCACCGGAGAGTTTCTCAAAGATGTCAGGAGAGGAATCTCTTGAGCAGGTTAGTGCAAAGAGCAGTGTGTGAGTGATGGACTCTCCCACTTTTCCTCTGGCACTGACAGGAGGAGAGGAAAAAACAAAAGGAAAGGGAGGGCAAGCACAGCGGTAAGTTCCGCTGCAGGACTCAGCTGGCTCCGTGTCCTGGCCTGTGTCTGGGAGCAAGATGAGGAAAGGGAGGGTTGCAGAGGAAGCAGAATTTAGGTGTGGTCTCTGCCTGGTCTCACCTTCTCTGTCACCACTGAGGAGAGTGGGTTGCCAGGGATGCACATACGCACGTACGTACATGGGGTTATCCCTGTCCCCGGCATCCCTTCACCCCAGGCAGTGATGATTTAGCCACACAACCTCACCTCAAGCCACGTGGGAGGGAGAGGGTTGAGGTGATCCCTGGGAATCCCCTTCCCACCAGCTTCACCTCACATTTCTTCTCCTCTCCCAGGGTCCTACAGCCCAGAGAAGCTGGCACTGAAATGTTTTTGCAAATTTCTTTCATTTTACTCACAAATTTTCAATACCTCTTTTTAAAAGCCCAGGAAATCCCCCTGCCCCCTCGATGCACACACGTGTGCTCAGGCACACGCACTGGCACATGGCTGTCACTTGGCTCACGAAGGCAGGAAGATGAGGAGGAACGCCCCGGATGGTCCCAGCATCCACTGGGAGAGTGAGGCGTGGAAATGTCCCATAAATCAAGTTGTGAGAGAGCAGGAGTGCACCAGGGGTGGTGACCCCTTTGGTGACAGCCCCAGTTTGTGCAGAAGCATCCATGTGACAGGTCTTGGTGACTGGAAATGGAGAGAGACAGTGGAGATAGGGGAGGGATGGGAGTTTTAGGGTCTCTGACGTGAATCCTTAGCATGGGGCAGGTGGGACAGGTAGGGGATGGAACAGGAGACAGAAGCTGAGCCCCCCAGTCTGGGGCAATCCCAGCAGATGCAGGAACACATTCTCTGATGTCCCCCCGCCCCATGTAGCCTAGCATAGCCTGGGAACAACTTTGAGAATCCCAGTCCCACAAGCTCACTGTGCAGGAGCAACCCATGTCCACAGCAAGCACTCTCTGCCCCCCTCCCTCAGAAAGGTCAGTTCTCACCACCTCACTGGGGACACCCACTCTCTTCCCACCACTCTCCTTATAGCAGCCTCGGGTACAAGGGGGAAAACCATCCTGGGCATCTGTGTGTGGCCAGAGCTCCCACAGCAGCAGCGAGGTGAACCGGGGGGAAGCCCCTTCAGCCCACGCTAAAACCCAACCTTCCAAGAGGCTTCCCCGCTCCTTGTGCTCACCCAGGGGCTGGCAGAGAGAGCACCGGGAGTCGGGGCAGAAAGTGCTTCCCCCACATCATCCACCCAGCTCCTGGGGAGGCAAAAAGCCAGCAAGAAACACATTTCCTCCAGTTCGAGCACCAGTGGTTGGCTCCATGCCCAGCCTGGGGATCCCTTTCTTAGTCATCAACAATCCACCCCACTCTTTTCAGCAAGCATTTTGGGACAAAACAAGTGGTGTGTCACACTTGGGGATGCCCCAGGGTGCTTGGCATCACCTGCCCTGCTGCAGTGAACTAGAAGAGTAGTCAGTACTGGAGGTAAGAGGGTTGTGTGGAAAAGTGTCCCTTGGAGGCTGCAGTGGCAGAGGCCTGGACACAGTCAGGAATTAATGGTTGTGACACTGGCAAGTGCTGACTTACTGAGTTTAACCATTTTCAGCTACAGAGAGGCAGGTCCATGTTCCTGACCAAGAGACATCAGAGTAAACTGGAGAGATGAGGTCTACCCCAGGAGACCAGAAAGAAAATAATACTATTGAGATACTCAAGGCTGTGGAAAGGGAATCCAGGTGTGAAACTGGACACTTGGAAGAAACCTGTGGAGGGGGCCCAGATCCTGGCCTTAGCTGCAGACAGAGTAGCTTTGTGCAGGTACACAAGAGCCAGTGTGCAGCAGAGCATGCCAAGGACAGCTGGACATTCAAAGGGAGCTTGGCTCCCCCTCAGCAGAGCATGCCAAGCTGGAGCCCACACGATCCAGCAAGAGCCTGTCACTGGGGCAAAGCCTTGAGTCCGAGGATGCTGCCCCAGGGAGTGACCAAAGGTGTCCTGCACCACGGGCTGCGTGTGTGGAGGACATCACACCTGTGTGTCCAGGGACGTGCTGCCCCACCACTCGGGTCTGAGTGTGCACACACTGCTCCAGCCTAATCAGGACAGTGCAGGAAATACGTGCAATATTGCCGCAATTCCTGACACGGCCCCACCTGCCTGTCAGTGGGATGTTTGCTAGTGGAACGTCAGTGCAGCTGAGTGATGCTGTTAGTTCCTAGAATAGTGTTGTTGGTTCCTAGAACAGTACCTGCTCCCCCACCAGTCCCACGCTGCCTGCACTCCTGCTCCCACTCACGCACTGGTTTCCGTTAACCTCACAGGAGTGGGGTTACACTCTCTCCACGAGGATTTTTTTTTTTTTTGCCTGTTGTGTCTCAGGCTTTCTGTCTCTTCTACTCCCTGGGCAGCTGCGTCCCCAGCTGGGAAGTAGGTGGCTTTTGTTCCACACGAGCTCAAGTGCGGTAATGGCTCAGAAATCGGTGTTGGATCAAGGGTTGGATCGGATGACCTCGGAGGTCTTTTCCAACCCAGTTGATTCTACGATTCTATGATTTCACCGACTAGAAATTATTTTTTTTTTCACTTTCCAAGGGGCCCCTCGGAGCCGCTCCGGGGCAGGTGATGCTGCTGCGGCGGCAGAGGAGACACCCTTTGGGGGGAACACCCCGGGGCACCGGTGGGGGCACAGCCGAGGCCAGGGCGCGCTCCCGCGCACGGCCACGGCCGGGCTGCCCCCGCGCGCTCCCGGTGCCGCGCGCTCCCTGGCCGTGCCCGTGCGCCTGCGCGGAGCGCGGCGGCGTCATGGCGGTGCCGGGCGGAGGTGGGACGGGCCGGGATGGCTGGGAGTGGAATAGCCGGGGATGGCGCGGGGCGGCGGGTCCCTCCATCCCCTCTCCCCTGGCAGCGGGTCCCCGGGCTCCCCCAGCGCGGGGGCACGGGCCGTTCCCTGTAGCACCGCGCGGCGGTGCCGGTGCCGGGCCTGGCCCCGCCTGAGGGCCCGGGGGGGCTCCCGGCACAGCGCCCCCAGCACCGGCCGCGTCCTTAGGGCGTGAGGGATCCCGGGCACGGGGGCTGGGGGGGCTGAGGGACCCGGGAGTCCCCAGAGCCCGGGGCAGTGCCAGGCCCCGTGAGCTGTGGCTGGAGGCGGGTCCCGTGCCCCGGGGCGGCTGCAGGGGCTGCGGCGCGGTGGTCCCGGCACTGAGCCTCTCCAGCTGCCCGCAGGTGCGAAGGACGACTCGTTCAACGTGCTGGACCTGGCAGAGTACACCAAGAACCGGCCCTGGTGGCGCAAGATCTTCGGCCCCAGCTCGGGGTCGAGCGCTGAGAAATACAATGTGGCCACGCAGCTGCTGATCGGAGGGGTCACGGGATGGTAAGATGTGCTGGGGTTGCCCTTGCTGCTCCAGGCAGGCACTGGCTGGGCTCTTGGGAACACGCTGACAGGTGCAAGGGGGCCATCTGGCAGTCATTCAGAGGAGGCAGGTGTCCAGCTTGCTCAGCCTGCTGTCCCCTGGCATGGTCTGCTGAGCTGAGGGACGTCTTAGAAGCTATCTCTAACTTGGAGCCGAAGAACTGAGACTGTCTCCTAAGGAGGGAAATTGCACCAGTCTTTAATTTTTTTCTAACTTCTGGCATAGGGTGGTGGTGTTGAATTTAGGACAAGCAGATATGAACTTCTTGGAACAAGGATGCCTTCTTATCTGGAGGTGCTTCAGGCATCTGCATTGAAACCTCCCTGAGGTCGTGATTCCCAGGGTTTCATGTCACTTGTAGCAAGTTCTGGGGCTGATGGAGTGTGGCTTCATTTGCAACTTCATTCCCACACCATCGTTTGAGTTGAAAACTTTGTATACTCACACTGCTTTGCTTGTTGCCATGCCCGTTGTCTTCACCTGACACCAGGGTGACTGTTTAACTTCATTTTCTGATGGAAGTGAGAGCTGGCCACCTCTCCCTTGTGCCTTCCCTAGGTGTATTCCAAAATGGGTAAAGGCAGGTGCCTGTGGTGTTTGCAGTGTTGATAAGGGAACTGTGTTCCAAGCGAAGTCTGGTTTGGGTGATACAACACCCCAGCCCTTTGCTGCATGATTGAGCAATGGGGTGGTGAGTTCTGGTGGCTGCGGTAATGCCTTTCATGTTGGGAGCATGTAACCCGTTTTGGAGACTAGTATGGCTCTAGACCACTGCTGTCTGCTTGTTCCAGCATTCTCCTCTTCTAAGAAATGAAAAGGAAAAGCAAGCAGTTGTTTGGGCAACAGAGAAGCTTTTCTAGTGATCTGCTCCCCATGGTCTGTCGTGGAGCAGCACAAGTGCTGCCTAATTTCCCTTCAGAGATGATACCGGTTAAAAAAAAAGCCCAAAACAAAACCAGAAATCACTTGCTGATTTTGGTGAAATCACACGTTTCTGATTAGAAACATGTCTCTTCCAGGAGAAGGGTGGTGTTAAGGAGATAAAAATCAAACTGCAAAAGGCTGAATTGTGACAGCAGGAAGTGAAAAGCTATAAAGCATCAATTTTTGGCTAGGTGCAAATCCTTCTCTCTGATTGCACATGGGTTTCTTCTGCTGTTCATCTGTCTCCAAGTCTTGGGTAACTCCTGCCAAAGGCAGTCTTGCCTGTGGGAAGCATGATAAGGAGTGTGTGTTTGGTGTCTCATTCTCCTGACTGGATCCTGGTTGATTTGCAGGTGTACTGGATTCGTCTTCCAGAAAGTCGGAAAGCTGGCAGCAACAGCGGTGGGAGGTGGCTTTTTCCTACTTCAGGTGTGTATGAACAGCAGTCCAGGCTTTCCAGGAACTGTGCTGGTGGGGATGAAGGGCTGTCTAGGCCTGTTGGGACATGTGGGGCCACTCTGCCAGGAGCTTTGTGTGGCTGTGGATGTCAAAGGATGTTCCCCAGACCACATGGATACAGCAGCAAAGCAGGATCAATGTGCATAAACTTCAGGATTGTTAAAAGGTGCGGATCCACTGAGGATCTGCTACCAAAGGCCAGGCCAAGGGCACAAGGGGCTGTTACTGCAGGGGCACCTGAGTGGAGCATGAGACAGCCCTCAGCTGCAGTGAACCATGGTGCTGCTGCAGGACTGTCTGCTCAGAATTGGCTAATGTACTGAGCCCTGTGCCTGTGGACATGGTGTCCCTGCAGGAACAGCCCTGGATGTCAAGGATTTATCCATATCTGTGACATGCTTCCTTCAACCTGGCTACTTCAGGAGTCTGGCCAGCACAGATGGGGCTCTCTGTAAAGCACTGGGGAAGAGGAGAGAAAACAGAGGTCTCTCTCTGTCCTCAGCCACTTCTCCTGATTTCTAATAACCCTGGCACTGAGGGAGTCTGCTTGGATGTGGGCATCTGGCTCGTACATCTTGTAGCAGGCAGAGCAGCTCTTAGGCCCTGTTCAGCACTTACCTGTTTGCTCCTCAGGCAAACAGGTAGGTTTTGTGTGTGGCTCTGATCTGCTGAAAGGGAAAAGCTTGCTCTGAGCAGGGGGACTTCCAGTGCTGAATCACCCTGAGCAGATAAAATAGTTTGAGAGGAACAGGCTATTAATAGCTGTGTCCACCCACAGCAGCAGGAGAACTGCAGAGTCCCACCGATATCCATGGCAGTTGTGAGGGGGAGGTGATGCCAGCTTTGTGTTAGAGAATAGAGGCTGAAGCAGGCTAAGCTGCAGTGTGTGCCCTGCTGTTTGGGGACTACTGTGGGAGACAGATGTTGCAGGAGAGTTTATACAGCTCCAGGGGTGGCCATCTGTCCAGTTTTTAAGCTGATGTGCCCCCCAGACTAGTGTGTGGGAGGTCAGGGAACGTGAGTGGGTGAGGGGTCTGTTTAGCAACGGTCGTGCAGGAACTTTCTTTCCAATCCTCAAAATTCTAGATTGCAAACCACACGGGATACATCAAAGTGGACTGGAATCTGGTACAACGGGACATGAACAAAGCCAAGGAGCAGCTGAAATTTCACAGCAGTGGTAATAAAATGCCTCCAGAAGTGAAAAGCAGAGTGGATGAGGTGAGACAACTCTCCCAAGGCTTGTGCTGGAAAACAGGATTGACTCCTGAGCTGTTACGGATCTTTCATTATGCAAATACAAGGATGCTGCATGGCAGCAAAACTGGAGAGATGGCAAAGGCTGTGGGTGTTGTGTACCTAGACTTTAGTAAAGCCTTTGACACTGTGTCCCACAGGATTCTCCTGGAGAAACTGGCTGGATTGCCGGGCCCAGGGGGTGGTGGGGAATGGAGTTAAATCCTGGCTGAGGCCAGCTGTATGAGGTTCAGCCAGGCCAAGAGTCAGGTCCTGCCCTTGGGTCACAACAACCCCCTGCAGCTCCAGGCTGGGGCAGAGTGGCTGGAAAGTGCCCGTGGGTAAAGGAGCTGGGGGAGCTGGTCCACAGCACCTGAACATGAGCCAGTGTGTGCCCAGGGGGGCAAGGAGGCCAAGGGCACCTGGCCTGTGCCAGCAACAGTGTGGCAGCAGGACCAGGGCAGTGACTGTCCCCTGTGCTGGGCACTGGGGAGGCTGCTGGTGAGAGGGAAGGGGAGGTCATTAGTTTGGATACTTCCCCAAACCTGAGCAGTGGCGTCTCTCTGGGCATCACTTGCCTTGAAGAACAGAAAGAGCCTGAGGGATTTCTTCTTATGGGGAGGGTAGGTGGGTGACCTGCTGTTGTTGAACACTGTTGCCTATTCTCTGCCCTGCTTAGGTGATCATATTTCTAAAGAAGAATGTTATCCTGACTGGAGGGTTTACTGGAGGATTCTTGATCGGAATGGCATCCTAGAAGCTGCACTTGACTCTCCTTTCATGCCCAACCTCCCCTCCCCTCCTGTACTGCTGTTATCTCTCACTTAGAAGTCAAAGGATGTTGCCAACAGACTCAGTCCCTTCTGCTCACAGGTTCCAGCCCTTATTTCTTACAACGCTGCTTCTGATTTCCACATTTTTCATCAGTCTGGGCTGTCAGTGTGCTGGGATCAGTCTGAAAGCTTATGACTCCCAGTGTGTCATTATGATTCCTTTCCCCACCGAATACACCCAGTCCCAAATTTTCTGATGAGTTGCAATCTCATAAACATGTAGTGGCAGAGAAATCTTTTAAATGTGCTTTCCACAGGCGCTCAGGACTCTTACATGCACACTTGTCTGCCAGTATATGTGTACAACAGCTGTCAGCTGTTCACCGTTTAGCTTTCAGTATTCCTGCCCTGGTACCTGGAAAACCTGTGCTTCCCTCTGCACACAGGTGGTCTGTGCAATCCAAAATGTGGTTGGCTGTCCTGGGGCGAATGCAGAAGTGTCAGAGCACAGCCTGAGCTGTGTCCAAGGCAGGTGAATAAGGATTCTCCTGCCCTCCCCCTGCCATTGCACTGCACAGATGGCTGTTCTGCTTCCTCTCTGCTGTTAAATTTCCCCGTACTGGAATTGCAGCACTGCACTGCTGATGGAAACTGAGTCTCCAGGCCCTTTCCTCATCATACATTCTGAAAGCCACCAAGCTCCCTGTGCTGTAGAGCACCTTCTCATTTGCCACCTGACTGCTCAGCCTTTGAGAGTCTCTCCTTCCAGCAGGCCCAACCTGTCTGGGCCTCTGACTGGTGTTTCTGTGTCTACCATGACCTTCTCTGGTCACTTTGGCATTGAAGAGCAATAGTGTAACCATGTGAGGCAGGGTGGTAGACAGGAAATACATCCCTGCTTGGGGTACGTTGTACTGGGCTAGGGTTGCCAGCTCTACTGGAGCAGGGGGATGATGTGAAATCTGGAGTTGAGTCCTTCACCTGTCTCTGCAGAGCACACACTCCATCTCCCTGGCCTCTGCAAGCAACTGAAATGACAAAACTATTGGGAAAACCAGGTTGTAGTCTTGTGGGAGTGGCTCATTTGCATACTTTCTGCCTTGGTTATGTTCCTTTCTTCTTTGTGTTTGCCATTTCCACAAGAAAGGCTGCTTGCTTAATTCCATCAGCTGCAGCCCTTCTCCTGCAGGTGATGAGGCAGTCAGGTGCAGAGCTCAGCTGTGTTTGGACAGCCTGGCCCAGTACAGCTGTGTGCAGAGCAGAACTGTACTAGAATTTCTACAAGAGAAAATTACAAACAGAAATCCCTCCGAGGTATTCTGCAGGCATGGAGATTTGCAGGCCAGCACGGTGATGTCCTCCAGCAGGTATATGTGGGAGTTCTGGCCCAGAACGTGGGGTTTTATGGGAAAGTCAGCCCATCCTTCAATGGGAAACACGCTGGGAACAGTGACACTCAGGGGTGATTGGTTTGCAGCACCTGGCTCAGCAGCTGCACCCCATTTCCAGTGCTGTGTGATGCATTTGTGATCTGCTGCCCTCAGTATGGCTGGAAATGGGATCTTCCCCTGAGAGCTGCTGGAAGAGCTGAAAGGGTGGGTTCTTCCACCAGAGGTTTTGGAATGAGCACTTGCAGTTGTTAATTTTGTTTCAGCTCTGTTGATTGAAGTGTCAGGGTAGCAACACAGTGATTAAACTGAGGTTTTCTCTCCTTCAGAATCTGAAAAGAGGCTGCAGATAACCAAGAGACACAGGTTGTGTCTTTGCTCCTGTCCTGCCACATGTGGCCAAGGAGAATGAGGGAGCATCTGGGTTCACATCCTTTTAACCATGGCCTTCCTAAAAGCCATCCAGGACTGCAGGGATGATGTGGTGCAGCCAGTAGGTCTCCAGTAAATTGGTGTTTGGCAGTGGAGTGACAGATGGTGGTGGTGGTTTTTGGGGTTTGGTTTGGTTTTTTTTTTGCTGTAGTACCTGCGGAAATGAATGTTCATGAATGGATACATTTGTCTTGCAGGGTATCCCTTGTTCCTGTAGGGAAACAGCACTGCTGCCCTTTAACTGGGTGGGCTGCATAGCACAGCTTCTTCTGAGATGCACTGATGTCCACAAAGCTCAAAGCAAATCACTAACAGACCTTAGGAATGTTTTCCAGGCTCAAATAAGTCACTATTTCTGCCCAGCCCTAGGGAAGGGTATACTGGGGTTCTGGAGTCCCAGTTTGCTGCTACGGAGAGAAATGGCCCAGAGGGGGAGCTAAAACGCCTCAATTGCTGCTGGAAGGAGAAACAAGTAGCAAGTTCTCGTTGAGTTTGCTGTGAATGTAGGCAGGGAGTGGACAAGGACATCGGGATGTGGCAAATCTTTCTGCTGTGCCAGTGTTGGGCTCGTGGCTGGCACTGTTTCATGCTGTGGGCTCACACTCAAAAGCTTTGATGCTGAATCAGCCTCTGTGGGGGTGCATTTTCATTGTTGCAGGTGCCAAGATGAGGTGTCCCTCCCCTCCCCACTCCTGCTCCTTCTAGTCTTGTTTAAACAACTTCTGACATCTGTTACAGTGCGAGAAGATTTCAAACACATTAAGCTTTTAAAGTGGTTTTATATATTGTATGTAAATGCTTGTTGAAGTGATATTTTATTAAACAGTTTTGCTCTAATAGCTTCTGTGTGCGAGGTCTGTTGGATTATTGGGAGCCAGCATGTTTTTGTCTCACCCTGTGTGTTGTGCTTGACTCAGGGCAGCAGCTACAGCCAGTCCAGTAGCAGGAGTCTGGGATGTCCCCAGGTGGCCAAGGTGGCCAACAGCATCCTGGCTTGTGCCAGAAATATTGTGGCCACCAGGACCCCCTGACAGGACGGTGGAGCCAGGTGGGGGTCAGTCTCCCAGGTAACAAGTGACAGGACAAGAGGGAATGGCCTCAAGTTGTGCCAGGAGAGGTTTAGATTGGATGTCAGGGAAAATTTCTTCACTGGAAGGGTTGTCCAGCCCTGGCACAGGCTGCACAACAGAGCAGGGTGGAGTCACTATCTCTGGAGGGATTTAAGAGGTGTGCACATGTGGTGCTCAGGGACATGGTTTAGTGATGGGCTTGGCAGTGCTGGGGGAAGGGTTGGACTCGATCTTAAAGGTCTTTTCCAACATAAATGAGGCCGCCAGCTTTCCTTCTTCTATGTGGGTAACCATGGGCTGCCTTAATAAATTCCTCTCCTTGATCGTCCTGCCACCAATCACCTATATTCCCAAGAAGTGGGATGCTTCTAGGGCAGGAGGTGATTCTGTTGCCAGCCTGGGTTCAGAGCCTCTGCTGAGCAAGTTTATTCCACGAAACTAGAAATGGGCATGGAGGCAAGGCTTTTTCTTCTTCATGGGTGCAACAGAAGCCTAAATATATATTTCTATTAGTGACTTTCTTTTCACTGTTCCTGCTCAGGTAGGGCAAAATGAAAAAAATTAGCTACTTGTAAGCATTTGAGCTGCTTCACAACATTGTCATAATTTCCCCCTACTTTTCAAGGGTACTAAACCCCCCTGTTTGGTCTTAAGGGATTATTTTGGGGGGGGGGAGGGCAGTGGGAAGGGAAGACTAACCCTTAATTATTCTGATCTTAAGCCCCAGTTATAAAAACATCACGCAGCTTCTATTTAAACATGGTGATATCACATGTGGCTCTGGCAGCCACACTGCCCAACAAACCAACCAAGCTGAGACCACAATTTGTTCCAGTCGTTTATTTTGTATCATGGTATTTCAGAGTCAGTGAATACAGATGGTTTGCTCTTCTAGGCTTCAATACACACAACTATTGTGCCTAGACCTCAGTGGTCTGTTTATAGAAGCTGTATTTCATAAGTAAGTTGTACTTGCTCACAGCACAAAGTCCTTGACGGCTAGATCTAATGACAGAGTTAGGGCCTAGTGGGTGTGGAGCCTGATATTGAGGTGCCTGGACTCCTGCTACAGGGGACAGCGAGACAGCTCTGAAGGGCGGTGCAGGAACCTGTCTACTGAGCTCTTCCTACAGGTCACAGGAAATTCTGCTGCATGGGTGAGAGCTTCTGGAAAAGCCATCTCTCCTGGGGTCCAGACACAGCCAGATTGTGGGTGAGTCTGGAATGCTGTGTGGAAAACCAGTGCCTACAACTGCTTGTTCAGTAAGCAGCGCCTAAGTCAGTTCTTGGATCTAGCCCAGGGCTCTGTGACAGGCCTTTGGGTTTCAGCAGGTTGAACTAGACTGGGTTCGTAACATATTGCTTAAAAGGTGTTCAATTAGACATAATTTATAAATTTTGTATCAACAGTCAGATCTTTCAAATGAATATTGCTTTTTTAAAAAAATATCCTATCCCTGTAGCAATCCCTGAAATAATGTTCCTGTAACATCTTTGTCATGCAAATAGCAGCGTGTAGGCAATTCAAATATAAAATAAACAGGTCTGCCCAGTGGCAAAGGGAGGCACTTAGGCAAAGTGACTTGTAGTCACTCATGATCTATGCAAGACTTAGGAACAATCATCAGACCTGATTCCCACTCTTGAGCTTAAACCACTGGACAGGCAAACGTTGTCTGGAACTACTGCATGATGGCAGCAATACCTTTGTTGTGTGAAGATGGGCTTGTTTCATGTGTCACATTTAGATTCACTCTTCTGAGCTCATTTCCTGTACCTCTCACTCCAGGAGCCAGAATAACTTGGTTCCAATTCTCCATTTTAAGAGCAAGGATGGATCAGAGTAAGGTAAGCATTCTAAAAACACTGAGTTGACTTTTCACAGGTGTGATGCAGAGGCAACATAGATGATGTTTTCGTATAGAAGGTACAGTTTGTTAACCAGGCCATCTGTTGGTACTGTTATACTTTTTGGTGTGCCGAACGGTGTGTTCTGGGAGCAGTCTGGCTCTCCTGAAAGTCTAAAGAAGGCTTGAAAAAACACAGACGAGCTCTGCAGGTGAGTCCATGCCCCAGCACCCGCTGGAGCTGCATTGTGTTACTGAGGTGGTGGGGGAATTCCTTCTGAAGTCACCTTAAACTTCTGTCTCTCCCTTTCTTCTCTCTCAAACCCTGAACAACAGACGGATCTGCCCTGGCTGTACCGGGCGCAGCACTTCCGCATTTCCTGAAGCACAGTTTCACACTTGGACTCCAGGTAGTTGTTCGCTGGAAGAGATGAAGGAGACACTGAGTCTGCAGAGAGGAACAGGCTTTGTTCCCAGAGGGCACACACCCAGCCCAGCTCCTCAGCTGCTGGGCAGCAGGTTTCTCTGACAAGCAAGAGCTGCTTACAGGCATTTCATCGTTTTCTCTGCTCTACAAAATTCTCTCTTTAGGTTGAGCTCTCTAAAGCTCTGGCCAAAGGCTCTTGGAGAGAAGCCCTGCAGGGATGTGAGCAGGCTGAGTCTGGCTTGAGTTAATAACCACCTGCCTGTCTGCCTGGGAACACAGGACGTGCAGAGCCACCTACGCTGTCCTGGATGAGCTCCACAACCACTACATAGCTGCCTCGCCCCCCACCCCCACCACTGACTTTTAAAAGACTAAAAGAAGCAACAGCAGCATAATGTGCTGAGAGCTCCACCAGGTGAGTTAGGAAGAACTCTTTCCCATATGGCTCAGCTGCCTTGGCACAGAGGAATGTTTTCTCTTATTCATTCTCTTATTCATTCCAAAAGGCAAACCCTTTTCCAAGAACTAACCAACATTTTATTAAAATATTGTCCTCCGCAAGTAAAACTTGTTCTCCCCAGCTCCAGGTCCCCAAACAGATCGTCACAGAACATCCCTCACCCCTGCAAACATTCAGCTAATAAAAACCAGCTGTTAAGGGTCTCCAGAGGGAGACCATCTCATCCCTTGAGGACAGATCACATACACCCAACCCATTCCTGACAGGATCTGTCTGACCTGCTCTTAAAATGCCCCCTGGAGCAGCTCTGCAGTCTTCTCACACAATCCAACTGCTACCTCACTAACCACTCTTACAAGAGCTTTATTATAACTCCCCCTGCCCAGAGCTGAGTCCCAGGACTACACCTGGGATCTCACCACCAGCATGGAAAACACTCTGAGGACATTATTACTAATTATCTGTTTTGTACTAATTGGGTCTCATTAGTTACAATTAAGGCAATTCTGTTAAAATCAGACATTATAATTTTGTTTGCTTTGCAATCGGGTGATCCTAATGTGCCTCCTTTCTTCTCAGGGTGAAAGGACAACAAGGTTAAGTTAAAAGAATTAAGTTCCACCAAAAATCAGGACACCAAAGATAAAAAGACACTTGGTACCTTGCAAGCATTTCTGTATTTCACAGGCTTGTTTCTGGCACGGATCCTTCTTGGACATGTTCAGAGAACTAAAATGATAGGAAAATGTTACTGTAGAAACAAGGTGCTTTTCAGGGAGTGGGGGGAAGACAGTGTCTTAAAGCCAAAGCTTTCAAGAGGTCCCAATTTCCCCCACGGTCACCATTCAGAAAACATCTATTGCTGCTTGCAGATGACAGCCAACATACACAAGAACTCTGTGTGTCAGGCTAAATGATGATAATGTGGACAATGAATATGGGAAGTTTTATGTTGCTACATTTAAAGGCCTTTTTCTTTTCTCTGGTCACAATGTGTCTTTTCCACTTGGATGCACCAAGATTCCAGGAAAGATTCAAATTAACCTGGCTGACTGGTTTTTAACAGTTCTGTTTCTCTAGACCTTATACTAAACCACATATTTAAGGGAAGGCCTTCTCTGTGAGCTCTACACAACCAAGGATTCAGTGTTAGTCATGGAGCAACAGCTGGAGAAGGCATTTAAAAAAACAATTAACCAACAAAACTTAGATGTATATGCCCCATAAAGTCAACAAGGAGGGCTTTTTTTTGTTTGTTCCAGGAAATCCCCTCCCTCTGTCCAAAAAACCCCACCACCATATTGGAGGGCAGCTTCACCTTGTTCAAATCCCTAGAAAGCAGGATTACAGACACTCAGTTTGACTTTCTGTAGCTGTGACACCTGTAACTGTGATCCTCTGTGACAGATACAAAGCCAAGCAAAAGCTGGTGGTACGAGCAGTTGAATGGGAGACCTCAACAGGAAAGCACCACTCTCACTGGAAGTGGTGGTGGGAGTTCAGCTCCCTCTGAGCCACAGTTCAGCCTCTGCTCAGAGCCAGGGAGCTGCTGCCTTTCCAATTTCTGACAGGTCACCAGCCCACAGCACTTTTCAGTATCACTGGGGCATTATTTCCAGCATCCTGGCCAAACTCCACTTGGGGCAATTACATTCTGCCTACCTAGAACTCCCCCTGACGTTTCACTTGGTCACAATACTCCTCTTCACTGCCTGTCCTAAACTCTTGTGTGATGTTGCTGTGTGTTGTTTAACTGCTTCCACCTCAGAGGTGGCTGCATTTCAGTGGAGAGAGAATCTTTTATTGTACAAAACAGACAATGGCATCTTCCTAGAGCCACTGCTCCTGAAAGACAAAAATTCATATTAAAGAAAGACCGGGAGTAAACAGTGCACAGTACAAAGCAGGGGTAATGTCTGCACATACCAGATTAATCCCCAGGCACGAGTTTAAGCAGCAGTTCTTCAACACCACCAAGCTGTAAGTGACAAGGAAAAGTTCAATACGTCTACAGTAACTGTGCTTGAGCTAATGGACTTCAACAAAACAACAGTCCTTTGCCGTCCCTCAGGGATCTCAAACGACTTCACAAACAGGCATGACTATGGTCTATTGTTGCCACCATCCTTACCATGAGATGGTGCTCTATCTCCCAAACGCGAGAGTTACTATCCCTGTACTGCTCACCCTGGGACAGCTGCCACATGTGAGGCAGCCGGGATGGGGGGAGCTGGCTGGGTCGCAGCGCCTCACCCAGGGGAACCTGAACTCTTTGGATCCGAGCCCTCAGCATACCTTCCTCCTGGGGGAAAGCAACAAACAGAGCAACAATCAGTTACCGGCAGCGCAGCAGAGGCACCTGAGACAGCAATGCCACAACCACCGGGAAGCTCAAAGCACACACTTGCCTCTTCCGCAGCCACGAGCCAGGTTTTGCGGTGCTCATCGCAGTAAACCCCCACGCGCCGCACCCAGAGCCGGACGGGAGGAGCGCCGGCCTCCCCCCCTTCTGCCATCCCTCGGGCACTGCAGGAGCTCAGCGGGACGGCCCCAGCCCGCGGGATGCGCGCATGGCCTCGTCAGCTCCGAGCACATCCACGGGGAGAGCTCCCGGACCTGACACGCAGCTGGTGCCTGGCTCGCTGGAGGAGATGCTACGGCCTGAAACGTCCCTAAAAGTCAGCTGGGGAGGCTGAGGTGGTGCCTAAGCCAAGAGAAATGTCAGGCCAAGTTGTACACCGGGGCACGGGTGCTGTGTGGCATTTGTAAGGCATTCTGGGGCAAAAGGTGCTATTGGTACGGAGTTAGACCCTGTGAATACTGGCTTTGCTCATTCCACTAACAGTCCTATTAACAGTCTTTGTGCAAAACGGGGTGGGGGGGGGAGCGAAATAGTGGTGGTCTAAATTCCAAAAGCAAATCTTGTGACAAGAGGTGGGATGAGCTTAAGGACGAAGATCACTCTGGAGACAAAGCATGGAGCTCGGTGTGCACGACTCTCGCAGCTGGAGCTCGCAGAGCCATCACCGTGCAGGGTCTTGGTCTCATCTCTCACAGGGGTGGCAGCACTGTCCAGTCACACACAAACTTCACAGGAGCAGCTCTGGAGACTCTTGTCATTCGGCTTTTAGCTGGTCACAGAGAGCCTCCAACACCAGCAGGGGCAGAGGAGCTTTGGGCATTGAGGTGGTTCCTGCTACTGGATTTTTTTTTAGCAGCACGTTTATCTGTGTGCCAGTGAGGTCAAGCTGAGCCATTAGCAAATGGAGGGCAGGGGAAATGGTTCTCTTTGAGCCCTAGAGGAGGTAATCAAAATGGTACAGTCTTCATTCTTTATCTAGGTTTAAAGTAGAACAAAGTTAAGCTGTAACACATAAAACATCCTCCTGCTATGAAGCAGATGCAATATTCTTTATCCCCGTGAAACACAGTGGTCTTCTGAAAACTTGTAAGGTTATAAGGCATATTTCAGACAGGAGCAAGAAAATCTAGGTACAAAATAAAGGAGGGAAAGTCAGGGAGAGAAAAAAAAATTGTTATACATTGGGTTACATATATAACAGGAAATACAAGTCCATGTTGCTTTCCATATCTCACATCAGCGTTTCTCTACTTTTTGGAATCAAAGGAGCACTCAGCTTTCTTGAGAACAAAACACCAACCACGGATCAGCCTGAACAGCACTGTCACAGTATTTTCATTCCTAACAAAGAAAACTTTGAATGTTCTTTTATGGTTTCTTTTTTCTCCCATTCTGTTTTGTTTCCTTGCTTGATGTGTGGGGATGTGAATGTGCACTCTACAAAGCACCACTGTTCTGAAGACCATCCTGTGACGTGGGGCAGCCATTCCAAGCAATGCCCCAGCAGCTGGACCACTGGCATTTAAAGAAATGTGACAGCAGGATGAGAAGCCTCACAAGGCCTTCAGGAATCAGCTCTGAGGGTTAAAGGGACACTTCTTTAAGTCTTTTCCTTTCTGCTTTACCTGAAGTCACTTTACAAATTTAAACCCCTGTGTGGAAATCACTCTGCCCAACAGTGAAACACAGCAACTGCCACTGCTCATTTTCAGTCAGCTGAATGTAATCACCCCGGGTGGAATTTGGCCAGGATACTCTCCTACTCTGCAGCAAGCTGCCAAAAGTTCCATCATGACCAAAAATGCTCAAGAACTTGCTTTATTGCTGGAATTTCGACAGCTCATCATCCCCAGGACCAGAAGGCTCAAGACTCCGGTAACAGAAAAACATGACTCAGTAAGTGAACTGTGCTTCCTACCGCAAGTAAACTCTCCTGGAAGGTCTCCTATCCAAATACTAACCTGGTTCAGCCTGGCTGAACTACAGGCAGGGGGGCTAAAGCACAACATGCATGTTTGTGTTCACTGTGTATGAGGATGGCAGCGGTGACAGACCCAGGACGGACAGAACGAGCTCTCGTGCAGAGGACACTGTGCAGAATGGGCAGAGGTTAATTTGTGGTTCGCCCTTTGCCCCACCTGATTTGTCCCAGTTTTCCCCAGAACTCCACAGCTCTGAGTTCAAAGTTCAAAGGCCCAGTCTGGCCCACTTAGTGCCACAGAGAAAATCTTGGGGTCAGGCAGAACCGTCAGTTGGGGTTTGAGGTGGGACAGGCCTGTCTGCAGCACCCAAACGCACCACAGAAACAGGAGATGCCACGAGCACACACTTAGACACTGCACCTGGACACACACACAACTCCTCTTTCTGCAGCTTTTATCAGAAAGCAGCAACAAAGCCTGAAGGAAGACATGGGTGGAAGGAGAAGTGAGCTTACTTATCTCTTAAACAAGTTTTAAACTCAGGTTTCTTGCTTCATAATCTGTTAAAAACCCAACACACTCAACACAAACCCAATCAGCTGAAATCTGCAGGACTGCAGCATCATCCTTTGACAGAGATTTTAATGTTCCCATCAACATAACTGCAGAAGGCTGAGCTGTCTAAAGGGTTGTTTTGAGCAGGTTCAAAGCCTGATCCCTGCAGAGAGGAATAATGCTGGCAGGTATTCTGTCCATCTCAGCATCAGTCTTAGAAGATTAATGCTGTTCTAGGATCTGGGTGGATTTCTGAGCCACACAATATATGGATAAATGTGAAAATGGCCAGAAGGAGGACTGCAGCTTGTGGTGAAGACAATTTATTTGCTTTTAAATCGGGTACATTAAAATATTTTTATGAAAACAGTGAAAGAAATTGCTCCAGATGCTGCCTGGGCCACCCTAGAGCTGGAGCTCAGTGTGCTGAACAAACTGCACCCTTTATCACCTTCTGTTTCAAAAGGTAACTGGGTCAGACTGTTAGAAGGGTTCAGCTGCCATTTGGGCAGCAAGGAGAGGTGCTGCTGACACAGTTACAGCTCCCAGAGCAAAGCTGCCCAGCCCGGCCTTCTGGTGGGGTGTGACAGCTCCCCCGGGGAGCTCCAAGGGTGCTGGGCTCTCCTGAAACACCCAGCCCGTCTCTGGCAACAAGTCAGGCATCTGGTGAGCTGTTTGCTGATGTGGGCACTCTCTAAAGCTTCTTGCTGGGGGTCTGCACTCTACTCTGCCCGGGGCGAGCCCCTCTGCCCCCACTGCGCTCCACCCGACCTACTGAGGGTACGGATGCTCACCGACCAGCCGGGCTGTCCAGCCGCGCGGCGAGGGCAGGTCGAGCTTTGGTGGGATCTGAAGAGACAGGGAAACAAAAAGAGGATGACATAATGCGGGGGGAGCCAGGGAGAGGCACGGGGAGGGCGAGAGGCGCAGGGGCCGGGCCGGGCCGGGGAGCGGGCGCGGGGGGCGGTGCGGACAAGGAGGGCCGGAGGGGCGCGGGGGCGGTGGCGCAACACATCGGCAGAGCCCTCGCGCCCCTGCCCGCGCCGGGCCGTGCCGGCGGGGCTGTGCGGCGGCCCCGGGTGGGTGTGCGGCGGGCGCCGGGCCGGGCCCGCCATGACCTACCTGCACCCGCGCCGTGACCGCCGCCGCCGCGTGCGCCGCGCTAAGCCTTCCCCCGCCCCGACACCCCGCCGCCTCCCCGCACGCCCCCGGGGGGGCGGACCCCGCGCCGAGCCCAGCCGCGTTGAGCCGGGCCGGGTCGGGCCAGGCCCCGCCCCGGTCTGGCCTCGCCGCCCGCCCCCGGGCCCCGCCCGCCCCCGGGCCCCGCCGCGGGCTCTGGGAGCCGCGCGGGGCGGCGGCGGAACTCCGGCGGCGCCGCTCCCGTGGGCGGCACGGCCCTTCCGCCGCGCCGCACCGCCTCAGCGGGGGCCGCGCCGATTGGCCGGGCGGGCCCGCGGGCGGCGCTGCGATTGGCCCGGCCGCGCGGGGGGCGGTGCCGGGGGCGGTGAGGGGAAGGCAAGATGGCGGTGCAGGCCGTGCACCTGGAGGCGGACGCGTTCCTGGTGTGCCTGAACCACGCGCTCAGCACCGAGAAGGAGGAGGTCATGGGGCTCTGCATCGGAGAGGTACCGCCCCGGCGGGAAGGGCGCGGCGGGAGGAGGCGCTGTCCGGCGGGTTTGGGGCTCTTTAGCACCGTAGTGTTTGCCGTGGTTACCGTGTGTTTAGGACAAATACCAGGGATTAACGCACCTTTGCGTTAACCCCCTACATCTGTTACTGTTGCCTTATTTACCCGTATTAGTAATTAATAGCTGCTAGCAGATGTGTTAGTTTTGAGAACAAAGAACGGTAAAAGAAGTGCATCATGACCTGACCGCATGTCTGAGATACTCTCAAGGGGAGAAGATTCGTTAGAAGATCCAGAACCATAAAAGGGAAATTTGGGGAACGGGATGTTCCCGTATGACCTCAAAAGACCCCCAGTCATATTCAAATTACTCCAGTGAAATAGTCGGCACGTATGCATGTATTCGGGAGGCGTGATGAATATGCATCAGAAATGTGATGAATATGTATTAGCATGATGAATATGCATTAGTTTCGTGGCTATACCCTGCTCTGTTTAGTTGCTGGGTGTGCATTTCCGTGGAGTTATCCCCGCGCTCCCAGAGCGCTGAGTAAAGGAATGTCGGCTTTCTAACCCAACGAACTGGCTGGAGAGTTTATTTCCCGGCTCTCAGTGTGACAGTAAGAGCCAGGAGAGCTTCCCCTCTCCCTGTGCCCGTGTAAGAACCGGCCCTGCCTCGCGGGTGGGTGTCTCCCTGCCAGGGCAGTGACTGCTCTCCCTCTGTGGGCAGGTGGACACCAGCAGGATCGTCCACATCCACTCTGTGATCATCCTGCGCCGCTCCGACAAGAGGAAGGACCGCGTGGAGATCTCCCCGGAGCAGCTCTCAGCTGCCTCCACAGAAGCAGAGATATCCTTTAGTGCTTCCCCTCACACCTCTGCTGATGGGCTGCGGTTCACACTTGCTCTGCTTGGCTTGAAGCTCTCAGCTGCTCCTCCTGCAGCTGCTGGGCTGGGAGGGCTGTGCTGGCACTTGCCTTTCCCTGGAGTTGGTTCCAGCACTTACAGTGGAGCTGCGTTATGAAATTTTTGTCATTTCTGTGTGTTTGGTGACAAGTATCTCTGCAGTGTGTTTGTTGGGGAGGGTGGCACTCCAGCAGGGAGGCGTAGTGAGAGATGAAAGGTCAGCAGGTCTCCAGGTGGGGCACTGGGGAGCCTCTTCTCTGCACACACTTGGGAATTCTGGCTTGCTCAGCTGCTGAAATATTCTTTTCTGCCACATACAAGCAAAATCCAATTTGCTTCTTCAGCAGTGACTCCTGAGGGTGCTGGGGAAGAGGCTCCATCAGCTCCCTGCCACGTGTCTTGTCACCCCTCCAAAGGGACCTGTAATTCTGTTGGCTGATGAGAAGCTATTTTAAAAAACTGCTGTTTTTCCTGGTACAAAAAACTCCTTCCCTTTGCTCTGCTGGTTCCAAAAGCTCCTTGACTCCCACACAGGTTGGCTGAGATGACAGGACGTCCCATGAGGGTGGTGGGCTGGTACCACTCCCACCCCCACATCACTGTCTGGCCCTCACACGTGGGTAAGAGGAGCCCTGAGCTGGGGTCTGGGTGGAACTCCCAACTGGTTGATTGTGGGATTCACAAGTTCCAGAGCTGCACATCCCAGCAGTTCAGGACTCTGTGTCTCAGACATCCCCTGGTAGGACCAGACTGTCTGGGTGGGCTCCAGGGGCCTCTGTCAGTGCAGCCCCATAACTGTGTGTGCCCCAGGGACTCAAAGATGACTCAGAGCAGCTACTGCTGGTGCTACTGTTCTTCCAGATAGAAAAACCAGACCCAGGGTGTGGGGAACAGCAAAAAAACCTGTGGGAATTCTGGGCCTACTGTGGTGATTTTTGACATCTGGGAATGTTAATGCAACACTGAAAAGTTCTATGAAAGAAGTGTGCGAGTATGTTGTATGTGCTGGACTTTATGGAGACCTGTGGCACCAGGCTGATCCTGAGATCATTTCTGGTTTTGTGAACTCACCTGGTGTATTTAAGATTTGCTATTTAATTACATTTTAAATTGGATCAATTTTTTTTTTTTTTAATTTAGTCACTCAGAATAAGGACTTAAAGCTTGTGACACTTGTTACCAAATTCCAGATCACCCTTCAAAAGGTGGCAAACCTTTTCCCACTGCTCCAGGTGACCAGTGCAGTTCTCATTCTCTCATTCCTGTTCCTGCAGATGTCCGTACACAGGCCATGTATCAGATGATGGACCAAGGCTTTGTAGGGCTGATCTTCTCCTGCTTCATTGAGGACAAGAACACCAAGGTAGGAAACTTAAAAATGGCATCAAACCCTCCAAGTGCTCGTGAGGAGCATCAGGGCAAAGCTGAAGTCCCTGAGTGCACCTGCAAGAAGGAAAGAGCTCTGCTGGGGGCACGTGAAAAGCCCAGCTGGAATGGTGGTGTTTGGGTTGTGACAGTGACAAATGAACAAGTGTTTAATCCTCTGTGCTGCCCCACAGCCTGCCCAGGGGGGCTGCAGCAGCTGCTACACTGTGTGTACACTAAGATGGACCAGTTGGCAGCTGTAGCTTCAGATATTTTTATCATTAGAGGGTTTGTCAGTGTCTGCTTTAAGCAGCTCCAGCATTCCAGTCACAGCAAAAGGTCTGTGCCTTTTCAACCTGTTGGAATTCTGTTTGAAAACATATTCTTGTTCCTAAAGGAATGTGTGGGTTTAGATGGGTTTTTGCACTTGAAATCTGACTTTCTGCTGTCTCTCTCAGACAGGCAGGATTCTCTATACCTGTTTCCAGTCTATTCAAGCCCAGAAGAGCTCAGAGTGAGTACAGCAGAAGAATTTTCTGTCCAGTGTCTGCTTGTATTTCATTTTGGCTCAGTATCAGATTGTATTTCACCTTGTCTCTCCTTTCTGGGTTGTCTCAAATAAGTGGCTTCAGGGCCTGTCACGAGAAGCAAATACTGTTCAGAGATGCCAGCACGAGGTCTCCCTGACTTCTTGTGCAGGCTGATGGAAGAGAATGTAAAGTTTAACTTACCCTAGATAATTTATTATCTCAGGATTTGGGGTAGGTTGCTGTAGGCAGGGTGGGGTTTGTGCTGTAACCCGTTGTGTAGAAGCCCCACTTTTTTACTTCCAGCTCTAGAGGCCGAGCCTTCAGGCTCCTCACTGACCACACACACTGTGCAACATGTTGTCAGTACTGGCCACCCAGTTGCTTTAGCATCTTATAATTAAAATAAGACAAGTGTATAAAATGCTTCCCTTTGGCTGCCAACTTAGGCATGTGTTCCCAAAAGTGGATGTGCAGCTCTGCCATGTGTTGGACAGACTGTGGTAGGTTGTAAAAGTCGTGTTTTTTCTCTGCTGCTTTGAATTTAATTGTATCTGAATCTCTTTCAGGTACGAAAGGATTGAAATTCCTATTCATGTTGTCCCCCATGAAACCATTGGGAAAGTGTGTCTGGAATCAGCTGTGGAGCTGCCCAAGATCCTTTGCCAAGAAGAGCAAGATGCCTACAGGAGAATTCACAGGTAACAGCAGTGGGGCTCTGCACCTCTCCAGGACTGTCTTTGCTGACATGTTCTACTGTTGCTGCACCATAACCTTTGCAAAGCTGTAGAAGATGAGAAGGATTAGCAGCTCATGTGCCTCTGTAGAACTGGTTGAATAACTGAGGCTGGGGTTACCAGCAGAATGTGGGATTTTGTGATCACAGGTCAGTTGTCCTTGTGAATGTGCAGCAGGTGAGGAGACTTGAAGGCACCTGTGGTGTGGGCAGTGACTGGCAGGCAGTGGTTCTGCAGCCTGGATTTAATGTGCAGTTCCCTGGCTTGTCCCTGACCTGCTTTCTGTTCCTTGTCGTAGCCTCACCCATCTGGACTCTGTAACCAAGATCCATAATGGCTCAGGTAAGGATTCCCTTTTTGCATGTGAGAATCCAGGGTGCTGCTCCCAGGGTCAAAACAGTGGAGTCTTGAGCAGGGCTTGGTTTGACTCTAAATTTGGGGGGCCTTAGACTACACATGTATAACACTCCTCCCTTTGCCATAAAAGGCCGCTGTAAATAGCTAGAAAAATACAAATAATAGCTTTTTTTTCCCTTGCCACACTCTGAATCACAAAGGCTGTATAACCCAGAGAATTCCCTGAGATAGTTATCTTGTTATGTAAAATCTAGTTAAGGAACAGAACTGAAAGTAAATACTTTATAGGAAAACATCAAAGGCTGTAAAATAACCTAATCCTGGGGTCCATGAATGCTGTTGTGTCCTTCAGCCTTTGTAGAATTGGTTAAAATTACAACAGACTTCAGGATTGTTCGGGTTTTCTGAGTTTGGTTTCTTTAGGTTATTTTTTCTGTTGGAACAGCAAGGGGGATTTGGGATTTGTTGAGAGTTACAGTGTTGTGTGGCTGAGCTGTACACATGCCTGCATCTCCTGGCACTTCATATGAGCTGTGTGGATGTGACACCTTTGCTTTTGCCAGTGTCACAGGGTGAATCTCAATCCCACTTCTGTTGCAAGATAATTATCCCATTATCCATTCTCACGCGTTTAAGAGATGAGGCATTCTTTGATTCCTCTAAATTTAGAGATTAATTAGCAGCAGTGATGACTTGTGTGCAGGTTTCCAGATTTCTGCTGCAGGTCTGTCATCCCTCCCCTGGCTCAGACTGAAATAGCATTTCCCTGTTTATCAAGCTGCTGGTTCTGACGTTCCTGAGGGGATGTGTGGTTGGCAGGGCCAGCGTGGTGGAAGGTTTCCTTGGCTGTCTGTGACACTGATGGCTTTGGGGTGGTTTGTAGCACACTGAGTGTGTTGTGTGCTGCCCTGGCATGACGTGTGGTTGCTCTTTGCAGTGTTCACAAAGAACCTCTGCAGCCAGATGTCTGCCATCAGTGGGCCCCTCCTGCAGTGGCTGGAGGACAGACTGGAGCAGAACAAACAGCGGGTGCAGGAGCTGCAGCAGGAGAAAGAGCAGCTCCTGGAGGAACTCGCTGCTTTAGAGTGAGGAGGAAATGCAGACCCTTCAGAAAAGAGACTAAAAAAATCTACACCACCTCCTCCAGGCTGAAGGGTGGCCCTGAATTGCCTTACAGTGAAGGCTGTGCCTCTTCTCCTGCAGCACAGAGCACGTCTCCAGGATAAGGACTTTGTCTGCCCCAGCTTGGAGCAAAGCAGGGCTGTGTCTGCAGGTGCTGCAGTGGTGGGGCTGGGCAGCACCTGAAGAGACTCCTGTTCTGGAGGGCACACACGTAGGGAACATGTTGTTTCTCCCTTCTCTATATTTTGACAGAAGTCTTACTGCTTTACATGTATTCCAGGACCCTGGAACAGGAGGGTTAGAGGGGAAAAGTGTGTCTCTGCAGTCATATCTGATGCTGCCAACTTCTGCCTTCTTTTAGTAGCTTCAGTTGACCATGATCTTATATCTAGTAATGTTCTGGACTGCTGGCCATCCACCCAGGCAGGTAAGAGGTGGGACTTTGACACAGGATCTGTTCAGCATATGTCAAACCAAATAAAGAATTCCAAAGCTAGAGCTGTTTGGAGTAGAAATGAAATGAATGCTACGAAGTGCCAGTGCCTGCAGTTTTTGGTCCATCTCTGCTCTCTTCATGTGATGCTGTTGTGAGCCCAGCACTGAGGTTCTCTGCAAAATCAGCTGTTTCTGCTGCTTCAGTGACAGGACTGTGGTTCCTCCCCAGAGGGAAGAAGTTTAAGATGCTGGGAAGAGAACTGGTAGATATACAAGCCTGTCGTTCTTATATGCTGAACTTAATTGTTAAAAATCTCTGAAGACTGGAACAAAATAGCTGTTGTTGAACTAATCCTTTAAATGTTCTTGCTGTTGCATTTCAGAGTATCCCCCAGAGTATCATGTACAACCTGCTGTGTTCTGTTTTGTGAAGTTTGTCTCGTGAGCAAAGGGGCAAAGCACAGTTAAAATTCCTGTTTCAGCTCCTTGGTTCTAACCTAAATTCTTACACAGACAGATGAAAATGAGCTGCCTGCATTACTGCAGGGAACATTGTTCAATTCCTGACAGCTCATTGTCTGGATTGTTGCTGTGGGAGAATGAAAGTAAGAGCTGGGAGAGAGGCACTCCCTGTCGGAGAGGGCCAGCATTGATGAGCAGTGTAAAGGGATCTGGAAGCCCCATAACCCCATTGCTTTTGTCAGACTTGACTTTTTAAGCTTTCTGCATTTCTGTTGGCAATCCCCAAAGAGTAGAACTTTCAAGTATAACACTCACTACTGGTTTTTTCCTTAAAAGTGCAGTGAATAGTTATTTTCCTTAGTTTTTGAACAGTCAGTGGGTTTGTGCAGTTGTTTTTGTTACTGGTTTCTAGTTCAAGTGCTCCTTACCCTTATCTTTGCTGGGGAGAGAGGGTGGTGCCTCAGTGTCCCTAGGCTTGATAAGAGCTCCTGGGAGCAGCCCAGGGCCTCCAGTGCAATCTCCCAAAGCACAGCTGGAATGGGGATGGTTGGAATCATAATCCCAATGACAAAAGGAAGTGAAGGACTGTGGTGATCCACAGCCTGGCTCTCCAGCCAGTAAAGCTGGGCTGGCACCAGGGTTCTGTAAAACTATACAGCCATGATTAATTTGAAACAAAGCCTGGGGTTCATTGACACAGTTGGTACAAGATTAGCATTTATTGATTATTCAATATTATTACATTCCCTGAGCAATTTGCTTACAGAAGACACACATTCAGTCATATTTTATGTGAAAGACTTAAATCATCTGACTAGACTCACGTTAGACTCATCTACTACTCTATATACAAAATTTAAGTGGCATCAAGTAAGGAAATCTATTGAGATATTAAAAGGAATCATCAAGCCTGGTTTTCAAAGCGAAATCAGCACCGAGTTTCCTCATGACCTCTGCATGGCTCAGCCCCTGCTGCTCTCTCTTGGCCAGTCCGTAGTTTTCCTTCACATACTTGGCAAAGGGTGTGAGCTGTGTCCTGGCAGGAGTGCCCCCCTTGCCCGGGGGCTGGCTGAGGGACAGCCGCCCCCCGCAGAACGCGCACACGAACCGCTCCGTGTCCAGGGACTTGGAGTGCCGGCCGATCCTGGAAGGGAAGAGTCAGGACTTGTGGGAAAGGGCTCCTTTCTCTTCTCCTGGATACTCAGGTCAGGTTTCTAAGCCAGTATTTGAGAAGAGCAAACAGTACCCCCTTCACACAGCAGAACAATCAAATCTGTATTGCACATCTCTATCCTAGAACTTACTCCACTGCCTTTTGAGCTTGGTCCCTTCCTCTGTCTCTTTTACTCTCAGCCCAGGAGTATGAAGACCTACAACATCTGCAGACACCTCCACAACCCACATATCAACTGCCCCTTGGAGTTTCTCCTCAGAGCCATCACCAAAAATCCTTCTCCATGCTCTGTTGCATCTAAGCAACTTATGCATTGTACAGTCCTAACAAACACCTCAAGAAAATTCCATATGTGAAATGTTTCCTTCTGGGAGTCACATGATCCTGAGAGGTAAAAAAAAATGCCACATGCTTTCTAAGCATGCATTTAGCCCCTAAATTTTGGGGAATGGAGTGGGATGATAATTATAATAATAACACTCTTGTCAGCTGCTTTTTTTTATCTTAATTCAAAATCATCAAGATACAAACCCTAGAAAGCTTCCTCTGATACTTTGTCGTAGGATCTAATTGTTGTCACACGTTCTGTGCCCAGTTTTTATGGGGACTTGTTCCTTCAAAGCTGAGGGACATACATCCCAAAGACCCTCCATCATCACCAGTGGTACTCACAAGACACTTCTGCCTGTCCCGACCTCTGAACTAGAACTGAAACTACCTGGAAACAAACATGTGGGAATCACACAGTGAGGTTCTGTGGGCTCTGGAAACATGAAGTAACTCAGACTATCCCAACTGCTTCACAGTTTAAGAGACCCATGATTTCTAGACCCAGGAGACTGGCAAGTTAGAGGGAAAGTGAATACACGGTCACATGCACATCAAAACATTACTCACTTAGCTTTGCACTGAGCACACTCGTAGGTGAATTTGTAGTTGATCTCGTAGCTGTGGCACCGTGTTACTACTGGCAGCTCTGGATGAATTACAGCTGATTTGTTGGCATAGAACCTCCAGAACCGCCCGTGTCCGTCACGAACACCGTTGATGAGCCAGGTGGCCGCGTGGCAAACCTCGTGGATCAGCGTGTCCCGAAGGCGATCTGCAGGGAAAGCAAACGGAAGATTAAGGTCAGTCAGGTGTGGGGAAGTACAGACTTACTAAGATGCAAGGGTTATTTTGGAGGTTAGAGCTACCACCGTCTTGGTAAAATGCTCCAAAGCAAGGTTTTACTTAGTGCATTTCCAGTTTTGTGATTAGCTCCAATTCAGCATCCTGCACTTCCCTGCACACCTGATGTGTTTCGGGTTTTTTTTCATTGGTTGGTTAAGCCTTTGTCACTGTTTCCTACAGCATTTTCCTGAAGAAACTGGCAGCCCATGGCTTGGACAGGTGTATTCCTTCTTCACTGGGTAAAAAACAGGCTGGATGGCCGGGCCCAGGGAGTGGTGGAGAATGGAGTTACATCCACCTGGGGCAGGTCACCAGTGGTGTTCCCCAGGGCTCAGTGCTGGGGCCAGTCCTGTTTAACACCTTTATCGATCCCTTTCAATTAAAACCATTTTATGATTTGTTTCCCCAAACTAGGAAGGGATGAGGGAGAAAAAACAGTTACAGTACCACTTAATAGAAGTTAATTTGGCCCTGACCTGTCTTTACTCCAGCTTTACATACTACCAACAAGGTGGCTGGCTGTGATGGAAGTCTGATTTTAGACTGCCATTACAGCACATACAGAATTAGAGTAACATGATGCCTATGGGTCTTCAAAGCAATAAGAAATATAAACAAAATACTGCAGTTAGTGTGAATACATCTCTGTTCTCACATTTTGTACATTTGCCCAGCCTCTTAGAAGGGCTGTGGAATGTGGATAAATCCATCAATTGATGGATTTATTTATTCAAGGTAATATGAAATTTCAAAGCAGGGTCCAGTTCCAGGTCTCTTAGGCCTCAGGTTAGTGTTTTTACCTCTAGAACTTGCTTTCTTAAAGGAGAATCAACATAATTGTTCTTTTACCCACCTGCAGAGTCACAGACTTTCTCAGAAAGTTCTATGCGAGCGTAACGCTTTTGTTGGGGACCTGTCTGCCCTGTCACACAATATCCTGCTGTTTTTCTCATCTTCTTATTCCAGATTATCTCCATTGTCTCTGGTAACTGAAAAACAAAACAGGACATGTAATCTGCCCTCTCTACCTCTCTTATCTTCTGGCCCTCTGGCTTCCCCTTGTATTTGCTGCAAAGCTGGTACAGGATGTCTCAGTGCTCCCAACACTGTTGTCACTTAACATGCAAACTCACCCCCCATGGCTGGTTATTCTCACAATTAGTGTCTCTGTAACCAACACTGGGAGTTCCACAATGCAGGATGAGACCAGAAGTCCCTTAGTTCCTCTATTCTACCTACAACAGTGGCTAAAACAAGCTGCTTAAGAAGAAATACAAGGACAGGACAGCCATAAACCACAATTTCCTCTTCAAAAAAAAAGTACCTCTTTCCAACTGCTAACCACTAAGCCACAGGTGGTTCTTTTCTATTAAATATCCATTAGAGTGGTTTTCTGGTGTTTTGGGGAGAAAGAGTGTGTATGTTTAAGAATACATAAGTATTTTTAGCATCTACAGTAGTCTATGATCAGAAGTTCTACAACTTAATAATTCACAGGTTAAGTACCATCTGCTTTGGTTGTGCTGAACCTGCAACTTGCAATTAATTTGATGCACCTTAACACCATGAGAGGGTGAATAATCCCCCCTTGCTTATCTTCTGTGCTGCCCCTGATTTTGCAAGCCCTCATCATATCTTAGTTAGTTCAGTTCTTTTACTAACAGTTTTCTGTCATCTAAATTAATGAGCTTAAGTAAAGGCTTCAACAGCACAGGCACAGGGCTGTCAGATATTTTGCTTTCAGCAATAATAAGCCTGTTCAGCTCAGCTTTATGTGAAATCATGACCTCAGCCTGCCCTTGGTCAGCTCAACAGTATCTTCTCATCTGCAGGGAAACGTTTTCCTTCCTGAAGGAAGTTCTATTGGAATTACTGAGGACAGCATCCTTCCTTTCAAGGGTATTTCTCACCAGCGGAGGGTCCCCAATATCCCAACAGACGTGAAGGCCAAGACAGCAGTTCTCTGAAATTTAACCTTAAATTTGAAACACAACTTGAAGCTTTATGCTCATGCAAAACTGTTATTCAAAGGATAAGCACCTTTTTAATCTGTTCCAGAAAGGCAGACATGGCCATGGAAACAGAAGGATCTGATGGAACTGATCCAAGGGCCCTCATACAGCAGCTTCTCCCATCAGAGACTCTTGGATACCACCCAGACAGCTGACTCAAGGATGGTGCTCCATCCATTACAGCTGGGAAAGCAAAGCCACGCTGAAAACTGCTGCATCACTGTGGTGGCAAACCCCTTCCAGAGCAATTGCCTGAGCTAAATCAAACATAAGACATTACTATAATGTTTAGCACTGAGGAGGATAAAGAGCAATCACATCAAGAAGTGAGGAGCGACATATTAACCAGCATTTTAGAATAGTAATTCTCGTTTTTAAACCAACCTTCTGATCAAAGATGGTGCTGTTAAACAGTCTGTAGAGCTTCTGTGTCAGCTCCTCTTTATTCTTCTTGAAATACTTCACGTAGTGGGAAGTGGGATTTGAAAGATCTTGCAAGAAACAACCAGGCACTGAGCATACCCTGAGCCTGCAAGAAAAGCCATAAAGCTTTTGTAAAGAAGGTTTTGTGTTGGTAAACACAGTTATAAAATGACCAAAGGAAACAGCACATGGCTAGAAGGCAGAATAAAGGCAGCTGTTAGAAATGAGAAATGCATTCTTCTGAAAAGCTTAAGCTACATCCACATACAGAAAAAGAAACATGGATTCTGCAAGTTAGAGAGGTTAAAAAAAAAAATCAAGACAATCTTGTTAATAGAATCAGTTTAGATATATTTTCAGAGTCAAGCAACTGGATATATACAATCTGTGGGGCCAACACATTAGAGGTGGGCTGTACCAAGACAAGGAATAGCAAGAAAACATTTACAAAGAAGATTTGACATTTGTCAGATATATTTGCCATCAATTCCTCTAGGCAGAGATCAGCTATATTCTCCCTGTCATACTGGAGACTGAAAACTTTGATTTCCAGCTACTTAATCATTCATAATTGCTGGATTAGTAGCAGAAGTTTCTATGTACCAGAGGAGTCACTGCATCATCCTAGGCAAAGGATGTCCATCTATAAATGCCCTAGAATATAGTAAAAATGGAGAAACACTCACCTTCTATCTGTCTTTGCTGATTGTGAGCAACTGACCAATTCATTCCCAGGAATTCTTGCAGGAGTCCTTGTCTTGGAAGATATTTCTGCAACTGAAGTGGAGTTTGGCCTTGGTATCTTCACTCCCTCCCCTTTCGAAGGCTGTGCATCTTTGCAGGGTGGCTTGATGTTTTCTAGTTCAACAGAAGGAGTCACAGGATTACACATTGTCCAAGAATCAGGAGCACAGACACCAGCAACCCACTGACAACACTGAAAAAGCCAAATATTCCACCTCAGAATAAACTCCTGCTGTGCACACTTGAAGGCAAAGGTTTTTACAACTGATGGAAAGGTAATTTGCTGTTGCATACTACAAATATTACCATTCAGTGAAGGAGTGGCAGACTCCAAACTTTCAAACATTCAGCAAGGACGAAGTGGAAGGAAAAGTATTTGTGACCTCACTCAGGCATTCCTAAGTTATGTGTTATAGAACATAATTCCTGAGTTATAACGTTATAGAACATAATTGATATATTCCACTTAAAAAAACATTTGCTCTTTCCCAGGGCATATTTCTGTGCTGTACATGATCCTCTTCCAGAGGTCCCCTTGCTCTGGCCAGTCATTGTTAGTAAGAAAGGCGCCCTGTGTTTACTTCTCTAGAAAAACATTTGTTTTCATCTGCTCTCATCTCAGCAACAGTCCTTTTCCCCCTTTTCAGTCTTTCAGTTGAGGCTCATTTCAGTATGTCAAAGGAAAGGAGGAGGTACTGATTTAGGAAATTCTTGTTATAAACTGTATTTTTTAAAAAAAAGATGAGTCAAGTATAAATCCAAATACTAAACAAACAGCATTCTGAACTGCTGAAAATTTCAGTCCTAAAGCTGAAATGACAGCTTCACATTAAGTATCATACATTAAAAAAAATCAGAATAATTCAATACCACCAGTTAGATAATAATTTTGTTAAATTAATTATAATTTTTAAAAATAACATTTAAAACTAAAAATGCCTACAAGAACAAACAATAGTGAAAACCTTAAACCTTGACACCACAGGGTGACTTTTCAGAACGCTCAGAGGAGTCATTTCTGATTGCACCAAATCCAGTTGCAAGGTCCTGGGCTGCCTCCCAGAAGTCTGTGCCACACAAATGGCAAGAGTCAGGCAATCAGCACTACCACTGCAAGTCAGCCCTGAACAGCTGCTTACCTGCTGAGCTGGGCTGATAGATGGTTTTATTTGTGCCTAAGACTGGTTTTTGGGGCAGACTTTGCTTCTTTATCCGTTCCATTAACGATTCAAAGCTGTCATCTGAGCTGTCTGACTCTACTGCCACAGTGGGCAATTTATTTTCTGTGCTCTTCTCACAGCTTCTTTCTTTCCTTCTAACAGGCAAATCTGGACTGCCTTTGGAAACTGACTCTTTCAGATTTTGTGGAGGTGAAAGTTTTGTGCACCTCTGACTCTCTTTCCAGTCTTTTACACCCCCTTTTTGGTGGTCAAGCCAAGGACTTTCTACAAAGACAGAATCCTCAGTGTCACTTGAACTCTCTCCATAATGCAATTCTTGGCAGCAAGTGCTTTTCTTTCCAGAACTCATCAACTTCCTGGGGGTCTGAAGATCCTTTGGTGCTGCAATCCGAAAGAAAGAGCTTAAGGTTTTGGCAGTTGCATTCAGGAGACCTGCATTTGTCTTAATACAAAAAAAAAATCCCTTGAAAGATAGGAAAATACAAATAGAGAGGTATCTCTGCATTTGCTTTACTCTGCCCTGCTCATTTACCATTTTACTACATGAAAAGTCACCGAAAGATGTATTAAAATAACACAGCCTGCCAACAAACAATGCTTCTGTCATCCTAGATTTGTCCTGTCAAGATCAAGGGATCACATCAGATCTCCAGGTGACTTTTTTTTTTTTAGTGATGCTTCTGGTCCATTTTGCTTCACCCATTTCCCCTCCAGACACCATTCCATTGGCTTTCTACAGCTTTTCCCAGTCTGCAGCTGGCACACACTTTTCAGGGTTCACATTCACACCAGCTGAAAGAGATCCTGCCCCTCCTGATCAGGGGTCAGCTCTCTCAGAGATTTATGCTACCTTTCCACTCATTAAAATTCCCACTTCATATTTGCTGTTGCACAATTACTTGCCATTCTTTTTTGTGCTCTTTCTCGCTTTAAAGTCCAAGAAGAAATCATCTGAGTCATCGATGAAGTTTTTCAAACTGTAAAAAGGAAAAAAAAAAAAAGGTAAATGTGAAAAAAGGTAGGATAAAGGAGGAAAATGCAAGAGTTAATCTGCCCTACTAAAAAAGCAACCCAAAAAAAGCCTCCAAATATAACATTATTATTGTTCACAACAAATGTTACCAACTACATCCATAAATAGGAATGGCAAAGGAGCATTTACACCTCCAAACATCCCATTTTTATCTCTGTCCTGAACATACAGACTGGACACATAACAGTTCTGTCTACACTCACTCCTATACAGGTATCTGACCACGAATCACTGGAACTTTTCATTGTTTTTCTTGTATTCTGATTAGTAAATATGATACAGAAAACTATTTTATGAACACAGAAAAGTAATTAATTACAGCACCCACCTTGCATCTGCCTTTTTAGGAACACTTTTGGGAGTTTTCATTCTGGCTAAAACTAAACCAAGAGGAGATTAATTAGGAACAAGGTTCTGTTTCTTTTCTTAGGCATTTTTAAGTTTGCAACTAGTAAAAATTAAAGTCTTTAAAAACCACAAACTTTTCTCTTGGTACATATTTTCACTTCAGTCTTTCCTACAACTGGCACTACAGTGACAGGATGGCAGCAGAATGGCTTTGCAAATATTCTGCTCCGAGCCCCAAGTAGTTCTCTCAGCCCCCTTCCATGACAGAGCTGGCACATCACTCAGCAGCCTCCCTGAAAGGAGCCAGGGGAAGGAGTAGACTGTCAAATATAAAAATTACAGAAGAGTGAAAAATGACCTAATGAATGGGCAGTATGGAAATATTTATCAGACTTAGAAGTCTAGAAGTAGTGCAGGATCTATATACAGCACATTTTGCTTCAGCTGGTAGTAAGGCCTGACAATCTTAAGATCATTCACATGGCACTGAGCTGGAGCACAGCAGGAACTCCAAAGCAATGAGAAACCTGCTTTAAACGCAGCTGGACCAGCACAAGAGTGATATGCAAAGGGTAAAATAAACAGGTACTACTTACTGCCTTAGCAATTCTATCATATCTGTTAAATATATAAGGAAGAACATATTGCAAGATTTACAAACCTATAAATTACTTACCAGTTTGAAACTGAGATGTGGCAGAGCCATGATTAGTCCAGCTAACAAATGAGCTAAACAGAGCTCTTGCAACAGGAAAAAACCCAACCAGCGTGCACTTAACTACTCCAGCACACAGTGATAGTTATAGTGGCTGTTACCATTTGTTTGCACAGGCTGAACAAAAAGATTGGTTGGTTATGCACCACAGAAGCCACCATGTACAATTTAGTATTCAATTCTATCTTACCAAGACCTTGAGCCACTGTGACAACTCAAAAACATCCCTCTGACTGGTTAAGACTAATGCAATAAAAGCTGTGTCAGGTAAGAGGGAATTGTGAGTAGTTTAGAACAGTAACTGCTCAGAGAAAAGGTTTATTCAAAGATGCTTTGTAGACTAAGAAGAAAGCGAGTGAGTGACAGGGAACAGATAAATCTGAGGCAACAACAGAAATGTAATGCAAGGCAAAAAGCACCCAGAACTGAGGCAAATTAAAAAACACTCCCTGTGGCATACAGCCACCAAGACTGCACTGCAAGGACAGAATGTACTTTGCAGCACAAGCAGTGGAAGAAAATAACGTGTAAAAACACTCCACTATAACTAGAAATGTGTCCTTCTCATACTCCAGAAAACAAACCGACATGTGCTATGACTTACACGTCTCAAATTCCTCATCACTGCTGGAAGACAAGCACAGGCCGTGGCTGCAAAAAATGAAATGCAGAACATTAGGTCAGTGGGAAGTAGATCTGCATCTCCACTGGCCTGAAACACCTGTGAACACCCAGAATCAAATACAGACTGGAAAAAACACTGAACATCACAAACAGGCTGAACTATTTTAACTGTTTAAAACAGAAATGTTATAAATTTTAATATATAAGTTCTAGCAACCGTATATGTTCCATGTAAGTAGCAATCCATCCTCAAAATTTGGAACACTGAACCATTTGAAGGCACAGGCTTAGGATATTGCGTTTCAGTTCAAGTTGGATATCAGAAGACAGAAAGGACAGAAAGCTTGTTTTTCTCTTACACGTGGTCTGTGATCTGGGAGAGAAGTGAGTTACAGTAAGGCTGAAAGCTGAAAGCACGCACTGATGAGTAATCAGCTGCTTGTGTACGAAATGCACTCTAATATGGTTGCCATGAATATTTAACACAGAGCAGCAGCTTTCCCAAAGCTCTTTCGAGAGGCACAACGGAAGCATTACCACCAGCCTGCATCCTCACGCGGATGTCGAGGCAAGCTGCGCTCCCCTTACCAAATCACTGACTTCATTTTCTGCCAACCACTTGGAAAACACACTAAGCAATTTGCTTAAAAACAGGAAGACAGCTTCTTTTAATTAAAGCTATTTAAACTTTAAAGACTGTAATTGTGAAACATGCTAATAGGTACCAACTGCCATGGAACAAATGGGAGCGTAATCTAAAATTTATATAAATCACTATAAATAATTATTATAGCATATTGCCTATATAATATAGTATAACATATACTATGCAAAATATACTACACAATAATACACAATGTACATAAAATTACGCATTATAAATTACACAACATATAATATAGTACTTTTTCTATATACACACATTATATAATTTAGCCTAATATATTTTCTATATATACACATTATATAATTTAGTCTAGTATATTTTCTATATACATACACTATATCCTATATATATATAAGAAATATATTTTCTATAAACTACATATATTTCTTTTATATATAAAAACATATAAA